CGTTTCTTCTTTAAATCGGTGTAATGATAGAAACTTCTAGTACTTCAGAATTTAGTGCGTAAAAGTAAAAGTTAAAAAGTTGTTCCTGTGTTTAAGTATTTAAGCATTACGCCTTGAAGAGTGGGAGTGTATATATAGATTCACATTTTCATGATGTCGGCACTAGTTGGAGGTGAGTGGTCAGCTTCGCGCCCCGGCCGCTTAACCCCCTGAAAAGAGCCCCTGGTACCCATTGTATAGCAGGTTTTGTGGACCCCAGAGCCGGTCTGAACGATTGGAGAAATGAAAATTCTTGACCCTACCTGGACTTGAACTCCGACCCATCGATCATCCAGACCGTAGCCATTCGCTACGCTAACCATGCAATCGCGGAACTAGTGCGTTGTTACCTTAAATCCGCCTTATGTTAGGAACTTTATGTCTGTGTTATGTGTTCCGCCTGACGGTGAGATATCGTGAGTTTGTTGCCTGAAATCCACCTTATAGTAGGATCTCCCGCGTTCTCCAGCCCAACCCCATTGTCACAGTCATGATCTGCAGTCGGCAGGCATAGTTGCACGTGCTATAGCGATGGGACGTACAGCCCACGGAGATTGTCTGCAACCTGAGTCATAACCCGCGATGGAAACGCGTAGGGGCACGATGTTGACGGTAAATGTTTAAATAAAGCCATGAATCGAGCGTATAATGCGTCTCACCTGCGTTCGACACGCCTGTGGATTGGAAAATATGTGCTATATTCATCTCTTCGGGGGGGGGGTGTTACAAGGGCGCTACTGTTGGATTAGAGAGTACATGAAAGTTGATTACACTTATATTTATTAAAATAATTTTCCTGGGGAGTAAAGCGCGGCCGGCGCGTACGGCTGACAACATTACCGCCATCTTTCAGCCGATTGTCTAGATAATGTGGGACCTCAACGTCTCACAGCCCTTCACGGCATGGTATAGGGATAGCTTTACTTACTTACTTTATTATTATAATATGTTTAGATATCATTAGTATTTAATTTGTTGTCGTTGTGTGTTTTTCGTGGCTTATTTTGCGACTTTGGCAGAATCTGGTTGAATCGTAGGCTGATCGATGAATTGAAACGATTTGGAAGGACGCGATCATAGCCTGATCGAGGTATTGGCCCACCATTGTCATGGAGGGACTGAGAAAGATTAGAAAAACCCCCAGTCTGTATACCTGGTGTTCCAGAAGAGATTCGAATAGAGTACCTCCTGAATATAAGTCTAGAGCAGGCATGTCAAACTCAACTTGTACAGAGGGCCACCTCAGCCCTATAAATAATAGTCCAGGGCCGCACTTCAAAATAGAAATATACATTAGATTTTGATACAAGGAAATTTAATTCTGTTTATTATTTAGGAATAATTTCAATATAATTACCGAATGTCACATATCTTACAGTTTTAAAAAGCAAGAGAATGCCATTTTTGACAAGTATCAAACAGCTTTTCAATATGTAAAAAGAGAGATTACACAAGAAATTATGTTAAAAATAGCAAAACATTGAATTTCCTGCAGCCTGCTAATTTATGTCTGCGTGAGACTTCTTGTCTTGTGGTCTGTTGGAAAATTGACTTTACAAAAAATATTTCCACCAAAATTTTAATATTGATTTTAATGTCAATTAGCTCTAAAAGTTGAGGGGCCACACTTTGTGGTTATGGGGTCCGCATGTTTGACACGGCTGGTCTAGATCAAGGGTCTCCAAACTACGGCCCGCGGGCCACATGCGGCCCGCGATGTGATTTTATCCGGCCCGCGAAAGAATTGTGCAGAAATGCGCCAATTGAACTAATTTTCCAATGAGTACTGGTAAATGTGATTCCGAGCTTATTGACCTGACATATTATACTGCAGTTCGATGGCTTAGCTGTGGAAAGGTTCTTTCGCGCTTCTTTCAGCTCAGGAATGAAATTGATATATTTCTTACCGAGAAAAACCATCACGAACCACTTTTATCAGATACCAAGTGCATTTGGAAATTAGAAGTTTTGCTGATCTGGTGAACCATATGAACCACTTGAATTTAAAGTTGCAGGGTGAAAATAACTCAGTCTGTGATTTATTTGCACTTATCAACGCATTCAGAGCAAAGTTGATACTTCTGGAAATCCAAGTGAAAAATTGTAACTTTGTTCATATGCTATACTGTGCAGAGTTGCATAAAAAGGGTGAAGCAGAATTTCCTTCCTCGTTTGCAAATTTAGTCATTTCAGATTTGAAAGAACAATTTCGGAAGCGATTTGCTGATTTGGATGCCAGTGCTCAGGAAATTAGATTGTTTCAAAATCCGTTTGACTGTGATGCTGCAGATGTCCCAAGTTAAATTCAAATGGAAATTATTGAACTTCAGGAAAATTATCATATTAAAGACAAATACAAGGAAGGAAATTTGATCAAATTTTATAAATTTCTGAACTCTGAGCAATTTCCAAATTTAAAGAAATTTGCTTGTAAATTTATCTCCATTTTTGGGACGACATATCTGTGTGAACGAACTTTTTCCCAGATGAAGTACATCAAGTAGAAATACAGGGCAAATTTATCCAATGAACATTTAAAGTCGCTACTTGTGATTAGCGTTTCAAAATTTGAACTTCAATTTAATCAGATTTTAAGAATGCAAAAAGAGATCCATCATTCACATTAATTGTTTTATTGTGATGAAAATATGAGCATTTGCTGCTACTGTCTGTTGTCATTAATATACGATAATTTATTCTCACGTACTTTGTATTTAGTTTATGAAATTCTGTGCTTTCAATAAAACTCATATACCTAGAGTTATTAATTTCTCATTTTATCCGGCCCGTTGAAAGTGCTGAATTACCTAATGTGGCCCTCGGTTCAAAAAGTTTGGAGACCCCTGGTCTAGAGCATTATAAACTAACTAAACTCTGTGTCTTGAGTCCGCAAGCGAACTATACCGACCGAGCGACCAGTAACTCTGACCACTATACCACAGAGGCAGTCCAGTCTATAGTATTATAGCTACACCAACCAGCTCAGTGCTTTTTCCTTAAGGAGTTATTTTTTATTTATTGTAATCTTTGTGAAATATCCAATGATAAAAATTGTCACCCATGCCTAATTAATTAAGCAGTATGCCATGAAGACTGTGTGAGCGTAGGTATGGCTCCACCATTCTTGACCTCGGGACTAGATGGAAGTGAGTGGTCGGCTTCACGTCCCAGCCACTGTATCATCGGGGAATGGCCCCTGGTACCCACTGGATAGGAGGCTGGTCTGGATGATTCCTGCCCCTGCCAGGAATTGAACCATGACTGTGCAGCCCATAGCTCATTGCTATACCAACCAAACTACCCTTGCTTACGTGACATATCCGGTGTCAGTTGTAATTTTTATATATCATGTACAGTAGGCATAATTACTAAACATTAAGTTTGGAATTGGAATTGAGCTATTTTTAATTAATTATAATCTTTATGACATGTCCAGTATCAGTTGTTTATTGATCCACTGAATACAGTAAGTTAATATATGCATCCTAACACAGGTTTTCATAAGCTTTCTCCTTTATATTCAGGAGATACCCTGGCAGGAGAACAGTCTTATCAGATCAAGGTTTGCATGATTTCCCATGTTCTGTCCATGGAAATACACTGAGCAACATTTGAAATAGGCCATGTCCATTCTTCTCTCCGTTTCTAGCTCTCCATTCATATCAGAGTGTTAAAGGATTTTTCAGTTAAGAAAACCTTACAGAGATATTGGGTTTTAAGACTTTATCCATTGTCCTGGTTTTTAAGATAACTAAGAAAAACACGACGTTTCGGAAACTGGATCTGTTTCCATCCTCAGGCGAGGGAAAGACACCTATTCTGTTGGGTCCCTTAGAAAGAGCTAGCCTCAATCACTGGACCTCACCTGAGGACAGAAACAGATCCCGTTTCCGAAACGTTGTGTTTTTCTTAGTTATCTTAAAAAAACCAGGACGATAGATAAAGTCCGAAAACTCAATATCTCTGTGTGTTATACACCGTCGTCAGAATCCTATAGTAACTAAGAAAACCTCGTTGTGCAAAGTTGGTCATTCCAGACAGGCCACTGTTCTCTTCCTCACATTTATCCAATTTATGTACATTTAATGAGGCACACATATCAGTAAATGCTCATTCTTTAGTATACTTTCCTTCCTTAAGAGTAAGAATTCATGTGAAGGCATTGCACATTATTTCTCATGTAAGCAGCATTATTTTCTTGAAGGCACCACCTGTGCATGTGTTTTAGGGGACTGGTCTCCATAAACTACTGAAATATAATTGGAATTGAGCAATTCTGGAAAATCTTCATTTTGTGCTTTGGAGTCCAGCTGAAGGATCCACTATTAACCTAGAATGTTCATATTCACCAGGCATTACCTATGATGGATAACTATGATGATTAAAATGTGTTCAACCATTTGGATGATAGTGAGGTGCGCATATGTTACATAGGTATATACAGATGTGCGTAGACACCGACAGGTTTCTTAAACCATTTTTTTCCATATTCAAGGGGGCTGAAAATTATAAATAAGTCAACACCTCAAGATAATTCTTTTTACACAATCACAGTACTGGCTTGTATGTACTACACATATAAGAAAGTAAAAAGAAAAACAGTTTTATGAATCAGCATCCTCTCTGTGTCCCCATTTCAACTTTTGAGTGAATTTACCAATTTTCACAAGACTTCACATGAATGATATGCCATTAGGAACTGTCTGTGTGCCGTACATATTACTTACTTACATTCTGGAATAACAGAATGACAACACATGAACCTGTGAATCGTCAGCAACACTAGCACTACTGTAGGATATACACTATATACACTACATGATTCATGAAGCTCTCGGATGCATAATTTTCTACAGTCTGATTCCTCTAATAGGGTTTAGATTGCTCCTTCAATCCTCACAGCTATTGAACAAGTGGAATTGGTCACTATGGTTTGGCTGCATTATTCAAATGTGTTGCAGTGTGAACAAGATTGCGTCCCTGTCAGACTTCCAGTATTGCCGCAACCTGCAGGAGTTATATATGCGCAGGAACAATATCAGGGAATTGAACCAGATCTTGTACCTGCAGGACCTCCCCAGGCTGAAGATTCTGTGGCTTGAGGAGAACCCGTGTGCTCAAGCAGACCAGTAAGTGATGGGCATGGAGTATGTTAAACACTTGAAATGTAAATTTATATTTTGTGAGTCTAGGCATTTCTGTACTCAGTCTGACTGTTTTTTTTCTTCTTTCTGTTTTCACCTGCTCCTATTCTTTTAGTTTGCAAGGCATACAGAAATGAGGTGAAGTCTCCTATTTCAGTCATCAGTTTACCAGAAGGAATATCTTTCAGATTTTCGTAATACATTTAAAATCGTCAGCTGATTGTATATGAACATGTACACATGCACAGACAGTAGCTTATTCCTTCCTTTCCATTGTTGTTAATGTGTATTCATAGAGCAAGGTGTTGACCAGTGGGAGGATTCTGTCGCAAAGCATAAGCATATGCTGCCCCATTATCTAATTTGATGTTCTGTACTTACATGAATATTGTTTCTTTATATTTATGTAATACAGGGAGATTGAAAAGTCGCACACATCAAACTAAGAGTTGTTATAAATTGTATTGCAGTTAATATAATTATATCTCCTACCACTAGATGGTACTGTAGGAGTACTAACAACGAGTATAAATGCCATCTGTCATGTATCGGTCATACGACGTTTGCAGTATAGCTTTGTTTATTGCGTGACAGACATGTCATTTTCCCAAGAACAACAAGTTTTCTTTGTGGAACATTATTTCGCCAGTTGTTCTTATGCACGTGTCGCAGATGAGTTTCGTTTGGAATATCCGGATTCTGCAGTTCCTAGCAGTTTGACGATAATGAGAATAATCGACCGATTTTTGGAATGAGGATCAGTTTCAGATAGGAAGAGATCCGGGAGACCGGCCGTTTTGACTGAAGCTAAACTGGCTGATTTGGAGAAAATGTTGCAGTGTTCCCCTTCAAAAAGCCTGAGGAGACTAGCAGCACAATAAAGGATTTTGTATGGAAGTGCTCAGAAAGTGATGAAGAAAGTACACCTTTGTGCATATCGTGTTCGCGGTGTGCAGGAACTGAAGGACCTGGATAAAAAGAAATGCTTAGTGTACTGTAGATGGTTTTGGACATTTGTTGGCAACCATGGAATTGAAGAGTTTGATCGGGTCTTCTTCACTGACAAAGAGTGGTTTCACCCTAGTGACTATGTGAACAGTTAAAACAATAGGATTTGGCCATTAGATAATCCACATGTGTTAACTGAAAAGCCCTTGCACTGTCAGAAAATTGGAGTGTGGTGTGCTGTATCACGTCGTTGAATAGTGGGCCCAATTTTCTTTGAAACAACAGTGAACAGTCCAGTGTACTAAGACATCATTACACAGTTTACTGCACTTCTTGAAGTTGATGATCGTGAGTGTTGGTTGCACCAAGTCAGTGCCACATGTCACACATCTAATGAAACCATTCAGTTCTTGTGTGAGTTTTTCAGTGACTGTCTCATTTTGAAAGGATTGTGGCCCCCGCGTTCACCCGATTTGTCACCCGCAGATTTTTTTCCTTTGGGGCTACCTCAAAGGAATTGTCTATAAAAACAATCCGCATGCACTGGATGACCTCAAGAGGAACATTACGATGGCGATTAACAGCATCCGTTTACAGGTGCTCCACAAAGTGGCCTCACATGTGGTAAAAAGAGCTCATGCATGCATTGCTGAACAGGGAAGCCATTTCAAGCATATGTTGTTAAGACATGATTTAATTTTGCATTTCTAAGATGTAAGGCTATTAACATTAATAGTAAGTGCTGTATGTCTTGCAGTTTATGCATTAAACCAGAAAAATATAATTGCTTAGTGTGATGTGCGCTACTTCTCGATCAGCCTGTATTACAGTAGCTGCTGAAAGTGGTGTTCTCCAGTGTAACAAATTCTATGACATGACTGACTTGACTTTCTGTGATTTCTAGGATAGCATTCTGGATTTTGATATATATAACCTCAAAAGTACATGAAGTAATTTTGTAGATTTTCTGTTTCAGTTTTCCCCAGAGATAAAAATACATTCCTGCAGAGTTGAAGAATAAGATGAACCAAATCTTCTGGTGAATTTGTTTGTAGAGTCTGCATTGTTTTTGTCTGGTGTGTGCCAAAGCATTGCCCTGCTGTAATATTGTATCTTACACCAAGGTTGGATGCTAATAAAAAAGAAAGTGCTTACAGGTGATTGGTTGCAAGGACATTCTGCAGTGATTCATGGAAATATCTGTGCCCATCATGTCACAGTAGTAGCCTTGGGGTAGGGTTTGTGTATGGTAGTTTATACCAGTTCGCTAAGGAACTGCACAAAATACTGTAACTTGGATGAATGCCCCTGTGTGTGCTTGTGTGCATCTGCATACAGTAAGAAGTTTCATGAATTGGTTCTTAAGTATTCTCTTTCAAACAGTATGAACCATGTGTTGCACAGAAAGCAAGATGCATTCTTTCAAGTTACATGTTATTGGCAGGTACCGGCTGACAGTACTGCGGGCCCTACCAAATCTCCAGAAACTTGACAACATTACGGTACATCCAGAAGAGGTCCAGGATGCTCTGAGGAAGGGTCGAGAATTGGTACACCCTAACGATGTTCAGGACATGTCTCCTATGGGTGAGAATGAGTGGGGATCAGGCACCAGCAGTCTGTCTCACAGCCCCACGCAGCATGAGGTATGTTTAGCTAAGAATCCAATTTCTACAAGCAAAAAATGGCACTGTGTTAACTAAGATGTAAACGTATCAAGTGATGCTGTTTCAGGATTACATGAATCGTGTATACTATGAAGAATATGTGGAGATGGAACACACAGCAAGGACACCCAGTGGTGGCCAGGTGATATCATAGCGGTTTTTCAGTTGTTGCATGGAGCATGCCATCTTCTGCATTGTTTTAGTTTTGTACCACATCTTCATGTGTTGGGGACAACTTTGTGTCTTCTGCTTCTACTGTGTACACTGTTTTGAAATGAAATTAATATGCTACTGAACTCTCCTCACTTCAGGCTGGGATAGATTCATGATATTTCTTCAAACAGATTCACTTTCAAACTATGCACAGTTCCACAGCACAGCAGTATCTTACATACTGGGCTGCTGTCATGGCTTGTGTTTGTGTTCACGGGTTTAAGAATTCAAGGGTTGTGGTGTTCGCAAGACTGGACCAGTCACACAATTTATTCAGCTCTGTTCCTTCCCTTATATGTATGCCTGCATGTATGTATGCCTCTGTCCTGTGTCTGTCAAGGTCGTAGCTTGAAACATCCATATAAGTATCCATCACGTTCTTAAGTCAGACATGACTAAGGCCAGCATTAATATGCATTGACTGTACACATTTTGTCATACTAGCAACTCCTTAATGAAATTTAAGAAATAAAGAGGGCAGAAGTAATGCGTGTTTGTCTCCTGACCATATGGCTTGGAGCAGTAAAAGATAGAGGCATTTTCATTTTCTTCTGGAAATGGGCAAGGCAGAAAATTATTCAAATAAAATAAGTGTTGCAGTATAACATAGAGAGATGTGAATCCAAGACTGTGGTTTTGTTTTTAGCTCAATCTTGCACATAATTGTAGCACTGTCAGTAAACATTCCATATAAAATAACAGAAATAGCATTTTCCCATTTTGTTTCAGTTGGCTGTCTGCATTGATTTTCTTCATCACAGGAGACTCATAAAAATTTGCTTTAATTAGTTGGTATCTTTTGTGTTGTACTGTGTTCTGCATGTGCAATGCAAATGGGTTTGTGGCTTCTTCATGTACTCCTTTCTATAGTTATCAGGGATGTCTGGATACTGTGTATACCTAATCCTGTAGAAGAAATGTGTTCTTAGAGTGGGGGTTCACTTTTCCACCTCTGATTCTACTCAAGTAAGTTGTTTCTGATGTTTGGCCATCATATAGTGTTGCAAATTCACTGTTTCTTCGGCTGATGAAGAAATTTCCTGGATGTTCATCTCTCTCTCCTCAGTTATTACCTCATCCTGAGCTAGTGCTGTTCACCTCACACCTTCATAACCTTTTTCCTTAACCCTTTCATATTTGAGCCCTGCCATAGAACTGTCCACTGGAAATGTCAGGGATGCTTGGGGATAAATGCAGTTTCACAGAAAATCACAGTACTTTCATAGACTATATCCTTTGAGCACAGGAGTAGATAGTGTAAATGCCTGTTCTTTCCTCTAAATATTGATGTATCACATGTAATGCCATTTTAACAGAAATGTTGAACAAGTGATTAATATTGAGCCACTCTGGTTGTGGCAAGTGCAGTGGCGCTGATCTAATGGGCTCATGGTCTGGAAAGGATCCCATATTATTATTTTCTTCCAAGTTACATTTGCATATATTTACTATGACACAAATATTTGGGGCCGCACACTAATTGGTACTGAAGTTAGCTGGTCATGACATTTATCCTATTCAAAGGAGAAGGTGTTAAAAAGTACTAAGATTGAATTGCCTGCAGAACTGTAAATCATACCTGGTTTCATGAAAATGAACAGTTGAGGCAGAAGTAATTAATGATGCACACACACACAAACATACGCCAACATGCATGCGTGCAGTAGGTATATATTTGTGGAAACATGATGGGAACAGGCTACTTAGAAGCACGAGGAGAAGTGTGAAATGGGGGAACTGAATAGGAATCATATTCAGTGGCGACTTTGGTAGTGGTGCCAAATCTTTGGGTGCTATGTTGAAATGGTTGGTCACATCTGAATGTGAAGTGCATTGGTCACCATGGCATGGTGGTATCTCTTCATATCATATGTGAGCTTCTTTAACAGACCTGTGTCAAGGGATTAACATTTTCAAAATATGTTGGTACTTCAGTACCCATAAATTTGCTGAGTGCATGGTGTAAAGGATTTATAGTGAAGTTCAGTGAGGATATATTTTGGAAAACATTTGACTGAGATGGAGATAAAAAAGGTAAAGCCCTCCCAGTAAGAGGCTGTGAAGGCCCATATGGGTGTGGGTGGTTGAGGCTCCCACATCTTCTATACACTCAGCTCATAGATGGTGATAAGGTTGTCGACCTTACGTGCTGGCCGCCCTTTACCCCCAAGGAAACTTCCTGGTACTCGTTTCTTTTAGAGGCTGAGTCAATCCCAGGGCCATAGTGCAGCTGGAAGGATTAGGTCAATTGAAAAATCAGTGACCTCATCGGAAATCAAACTGAAAACCTTCCAGCTTGTAGCATAGTGCCTCAACCAACTATGCTACCATGTGTCCCTTCTCATATTATGAAATGGAGATAGAACAATAGTATTAAAATGGCATTAGCTGTGGCATATGTGGATTCGATTGAACAGGCTTAACTCATGATCCTGAATCCAGTTAATATATTCATAGTGCTGAACTGTGAGAGACTAAAAGTAGGAACTTGCACATTGTTCAATTATCTCCATTGGAAGAACCCGACAAGGAGAATTATTTAGTTGCCTGTACCATTACTGATGCAGATAACTGTAACATAACATAATTATGAAAAGGCATGTTTCCTGATGTGTACAGAGAAGTCCACCAAGATTGCAGGGAAGTGGTGACCGGGAGCCAGAAACAGTAGATGTAAGAAGACATTCAGCATATGTACAGGATGATGAACATCATACATATTACAAGGCAGACAGACGCAATGCTAATTATGGGGCAGATCCTGTGATGTGAGTACATATGATTAATATCATAGATTCTCATTTTAAGAGAGGCAAAAGAAGTTTCTAAATTTCATAGTTAAGGGCCATTGCTGTTGTGAAAATTATACTGTTTGAAATTAAAGAATGTGGAAGATGATGTCTCCTGGATTGTGACAGCATGTAGTCTGGCAGGTAAAGGTAAATGTAAAGCTAAAGCTGTCCCTGTAACAGGCTGTGAAGGCTAATATGGTGGTGGGACGTTGAGGCTCCCTCATTTTCTCTAGACATTCAGCTCATGGATGGTGTTAAGGTTGTTATCCTTACATGCTCGCTGCCCTTTACGTCCAAGGAAGATTGCTGGTACTCATTTCTGTTAAGAGGTTGAGTCTACCCTGGGGCCATAGTGCAACTGGGAGGATTAGGTAAATTGAAAGAATCCACCTCATTGGGGCATGAACCTGCAACCTTCCAGCTTGTAGCACAATGCCTCAACCAACTATGCTAACATGTGTCCTATGAGGTCAGGTAGATCATTATTAAAATTTGGGTGAACTGCTCCCTCCATTTTCTGAGTAGAATGGCTCCTCCAAAACAGAAGTTATTGTCATGAAAACCTCAAATCTCAGATTGGAACACGAGTAACTAAGAAAGCCTGATAAATATGGCAACTGTTGAGACCTGTAACATAAATTAAACAAAGACCATATGGACCATAAACACATTCTTGTTTAAGTGTGTAACATATCGTCTGCATTATAATGATATGCATTCAGTACAGTGGCTGCAGACTTTTGTCTAGCACTGCTGCAAATGAAATGTCATCCAGTACACCAGGTTTCACTATTTCATATGTCAAATTGAAGCTCTATTTGGCATTTATACCTGCATTGTCATGAAAACGGTAGTAAATTTGAGTTCTCACCTTGAAGACCATTATGAAATTGACAAACCAAATACTGAGTCCCTAGCACAGTCAGTATTTACGTTGTCATTCAAGGAACTTCCTGGTAGTGCATTACTTCATCACCAAAGGCCACTCCCAAACCTAGTCCTTGGTCTATTGAATCCTGTTCATATTGTCACATGTTAGTGACTATACAGGGGGTTTGGGTTGGTAATTGAATTTAGTGAACAATCGTAACATATAACTGCAAATCATTATAACACTCACTAATCTACACAATTTACAAATCACTGTATTACACACAAAGTTTCAGTATGTTAAAGCCTTTACTGGTCATTGCTAGGTAGCAGCTCTCACAAGTGAATATTCCTCATCTTCTGTGCTTGAGTCCTTACCGGCTGGTGACTATCTCACAATGCTCAACTTTCAGCAGCAACTGACTGGCTTGTCCCATTGGTCTTCCTTATATGAAGGAGAGTCATTCAGTAGGTCACAAATGAAAGTAAAACAGCAGTAATAATTGTAATAGGTTTTCTGTGTGTATCACTAGGTAGCAGTACAGTCCAGCTTCATGACAGTCTAGGTAGCAGACATGCACATGCATGCTCAGAGGCTGGTTTCAATAGTCAAAATGGTGACAGTGCTTGAGGACTTTACTACCAAATAGCAGAATTCTGTTTTGCATTTATTGTGGACAAAAGTACTCAATGCAAAGGATGTTCATGAAGAAATGTGTCCTGTTTACAGTGAAAAGTGTTTGTCATGTAAAGCAGTTCATAACTGGGTTGAGAAATTCTCTCAAGGATGTTTGGAAAACACAGATGATGTTGAGATTGCGAGAGGAGAAACTGTGCAGTGGGTGGAAAAGTTGATTTGAGTTGACAGGAGGATAACGATGGTGTAGCAACTGCACTACAGCAAAATGCATGATCATTTCAAGTTTTTGAAGGTGTGCACAGTGGGTGCCTGGAGAACTGAAGGATTGCTGTCCTTGCAGCATTTCTAACTGTATGCAGATGAAGTAGAAGATATGCCTAACAGGATTGTTACTGGGAACGAATCATGGGTGCATCGCTACCAACTCGAATCAAAGCGTGCTTCAATGCACTGGAAAGACATTCCAGTTCACTTTCAACCAAAAGTTTAAAGTTATGAGTATACCATCAGCTGGGAAAGTTATGCTTACTCTGTTTTGGGATTCTCAGGGAGTACTGTTAGCCCATTTTCAGAAGCGTGGTGAAAATGTGAATTCTGCATCGTACTTTGACGTTATGTTGAAACTTCAGGATGAAATTCGCAGAAAACGTCCAGGCCACCGTGCAAGAGGAGTACTGCTTTATCCTGACAATGCCAGATGCCATACATCCCAAGCAATCCAGGAGAAAATTCGAGAACTACAGTGGGAATTTATTGAAGATCTGCCTTACAGCTTGGTCTTGCTGCTTATTGACTCCCATCTGAATGGTGAGACAACAGACGAAAGATTTCTATGCTGCAGATTTTCACACATAGGTAAAACAATAGGACAAGTGTATCAGTGTTGATGGAGGATATGTCAAGGAATAAATGTTTTTTCCATGTTTGAATATTACATGTTTTACACCCATTTGTGACCAATTTACTGCCTCCCTTGTATGAATGAATTTGGCAAAAGCTTTTGACTGTGTAAATCACCAAATGTTATTAACTAAGCTACATTTCTTTGGCATCCAAGGAGCAAGTTAGCTCAGATCCTACCTAACAGAAAACAAAAGATTTAAATAAAATCATCAAATTTAACCCAAAGTACTTACTCAGACTGGGGAACAATAAAGCATGGATCAATTTTAGGGTCTTTGCTTTTTTGTGATCTATATAAATGACCTCCCTCCTGACCTATCTGTAGGATATATTCTTTCATGCCCTGAGACATGTATACATGCCCATATCCTTCACATTTGGGCTACCATTGGTCACTTCAGTAGTGTCCATGGCTTCCTGCTCTGGCCTCAGCCACCAACTGAAAGTGCAGAGGGGGAGTCAAACAGGGACCTCAACTGCAGCTGTAGATGCTGTCATCATTGCTCTCATAATACCCAAGCAGGCCATTCTTTGCAGTTTCCTTAGTTCACCTCTTGTTTACTATAGACCACCACACAGTGGCAGCACAGGTAACTGGGATATACAGATACAGTGTGTATCCAGTGCATCACCTTTGGTCTCAGTCCCAGTGTTCTCCCACACGTGCTTCTGCAGGTCAAAAAGACTCCATCCAGCTGCTTTTTCCATGTCAGACCGTTGTCTGAAGTTAGTCCAAGGTACTTAACCTCACTGGACAGCTGGATTGTTTTACAGGAGAGGGTTGGTTTCTTCAGCCCTGTAATGTTCGTCTTCATAGTGAAAGATATTATTACTGGCTTATTGGGGTTAGCAGACATATATGTCCTATTAAACCACTGTTGAACTATGCCCAAGCTGCTTGTAAAATCCCTGACACAGTCTGAGGGAAATTTAAATTAATTAGGATTACAATATCATTTGCTTATCCTATTGTATAATAATTGTTGTCATTTAACTCTCATAAAAGTTTTTCCTTAAGCAGGCTGCACAGTGGAGGTAAAAGCACACACCTCTGTGGGCGTCTCCTAACTGTGGACCCCCCTTAAGATTTCCTCCTACTGTGTAGTTATTATTATCATTCTTTCCAGCATGGAACAGATTCATCTGCAATTGATGGGCTCATTACCATGCTTTTCACCAGCCTTTGTTATTACATCAAATGAGGTTCTGTCAGAACTTCCCTTTGTTTCCAGAAAGACTCCTAAGGCTATTTCCTTGTATTCACTAGCACTTTCTCTGTATGTTACCTTGTGAAGTGCAGGTTTGGTAGATTTACCATTTTGGTAGGCATTCTGGTTTGTAGCAGGGGATGCTCCTTCAATACACCATCTTTAATATGTCTGTCCACTAACTTTTCTGTCATCTTCAGAAGGAAACCTAGATTACAGGCTTATACGTGTATGAGGATAAGCCTTGGCCTAATTGTAATCAGATCTTTTGGTCTTTGGTATGTATGATACTCTTACATGTTTCCAAGCCATAGGAACATATCCATATGCCCACCAGGCTGTAAATATGCAGCACAGGTGTGGGACTAGATGATCCATTCCTTGCTGCAAGAGTGTCAGTTCAATCTCATCTATTCTCTCTAATTTAACTCGTTGCCGTGGTTCGACGTGTATGTTTCGTCAGGGATTTAAATCGTCTGGGGGGGTTCGACGTGTATGTTTCGTCCAGCTGCACACCTACGTTATAACGCCCATAATAATTGATGGTTTTGCTGTAGATTGTTAGATTTTTCGCTGGCCTGTTGTCAGTAGAACAGAGTATAAATAAGACACGACTTTATCTGCGCCAAGTCATCGTTACATATGCCTGTCTTGCAGCAAAGTTCCTGTTGCTCTTGGGAGAGGTTTCTCCGTTCTCCTGTCATGAAAGGCCTGTTTTGTTTCTTATGAACTTATAAACAGCAGAGACGTGATATGTGGCTTGTGTTTATAATATCATATTGCCCTGAGCTGGCGACACAAACACACACAATTGGAATTCTTAGAAGAGGGATGTCCAAAACTTTATTGTTGCACGATCGATTGATTTCGCACAGTATATAGCACCCAGTTCTTAGAAAAACGTCACGAATTAAGGCAGAACACTGTGGTCACCCCCTGAGACGATACGGATGTGTGTGGGGGAGGGAAAGAACTCATTCCTTCATGTATTATCGCTCCAGTTGACGCCATTTTATCGTACTGACCTTCGTGGTCGTTTCGAGGGATGACCATAAATATTTTTTTGAGTCAGCTAAGCTCTGCTTTCGTTCGCTACATACCAGCCAGTTCTTAGAATAACTTCATGAATTCTGTGGTCACCCCTACGACGTCTTATGCCGCCAAAATGGATGGAAAATGAAACGCAGAAGCACCAACACTTGTTATGATAACATGAAGGTCGAATTTACTGCAGCTAATCTGGGTAGCGATACGACTCACGGAGAGACATTTCTTCTTATATTCCCCCCACGGGGAAGAAGGCAGGGCCTCACAGAAGATGTTTTGTTTACGGAAAAAATAGCCAAATGAGAGATACGCAGTACTGGTATGGTGATGTGAGTCAGCGCTGTCTATAGTAGAATGCTTCAATGCGTGTAACACTCCGCTCAAATTCTGAACCACCACCGAGATACCGGGTGCTCATATTATAAGGCAAGGTTATAAAACCATCTTTTAAGATCATTTTAGTGAAAGTTTCATCCTTCAAGGCGTACCATTCACTGCTCAAATACTAAACAACCTGCACCCATGGCCGAGATACAGGGCTCCCATATTATAAGGTAAGGTTATAAAACCACAATTTAAGATCATTTTAGTGAAAGTTTCATGTTCCTATCTCATAGAATTTAAGAACAATGATGAATAAATAATTTTCGAGCAAAATTTAAATGGCCGGCTGAATATATTACCACAGGAGCCGCGGCCGCGGAATTTAAATCACCACGTCAAAGGGTTAAATTGTTTGAAGGTGCCTGACACCCATCTAATTTTGGATTGATTGATTACGTGCTTTGCCACGTTCCAGTCTCCCCTGTTCATTCTGGTTCTGCTGACTCCACTCCCCATTTGAATCATCAGTCACCACTGATTCACAAAAGTGGACCCTGCATTGCTCTTTCAGAGTCTCCCTTCCAGTTTGAGTGCATTGTCCATCAGGTAGCTTAATAATGCTAACCTTTTTAGTTGCCTGTTTTGCCATGATCTTCATGAGTCAGACACTGCCTCATACATCAGTGATCTCCTGGCAATACCCGCTCCATGAGGACCTTTTGGCTTTCCTAATTTCTTTTCTTTTACTTTCTCATTGTATACTTGGCTGGTATCATCATTATATAACCTTGGAATGGACTGCATGTAAAACACTACTTCCAAGAATTCCTCTGTTGTTGATTGATGTATTAAGGGGGCTGTTGCCTAGCGATGGACAGGGTATTTTTGACATGGGAGCATGTTTATTGGTTGCCATAGAAATTTGTTTACTGTCCATTGCCTAACAATAGATGTCTTTGCAGGGTTCACTGCTTTGGCTTTCAGCCATCATGTCACAATATCATTACAGTCTGTCTCAATACTTTCTTGTAATGATATCAGCCATGTACATTATATCTTAATTTTCCCAAATAACATCTTTGCATAAAAGTTTTCTACAGTTCTCGTGCAAGCCAAGCAGTAATTCGGAGATGACTGCTTTTCTAAATGGGAGTGATCCTCTTAACACAAGTTTTGTGTCTATGATTACCTTTAGTCCCTTCCAAATAAATTCTGATATAGTACCATAAAATATGCCACACCTTCTTCCTCCCCGGTCCGTTCAGGCTCATCAGAAATGTGATTATCTCATATAATTCAGTCCTAAATTGTAGATGCAGCTGATATGGTTGCATTAAATAACCTACTGTCTGCCCATTCATGTATCCATCCTCAAAAGCCCTCAGTATTTCTTCTTCCCACAATTTGAAGTGTGTAAAATAAAAGTGCAGATTCATATCTTGAAATCTGTTTATATGCTTCCATTCACTCTATGGGAATGTCTCTGTCTTTTTGCAGATACACTCGACAGCACACTTCTCCCTCTGAAGTAAGTATAACTTCACCCTGTGAATATTATAGGTCAGCGGTTAGTTCGGTACACATATTGAAAGCTGTGCCATCTTAACAAGTTTCTTCTTTGTAAGGCTAATCAATAAGAATATGATTGCACAACAGGAGACTAACTTTCTGAATTAATTCTGATATGCTAATCTCAAATCTGGACACAACAGTTTTGCATGTCACAGTTTTATGTAATGAATTTTGAGCCAAACAGTCCTTTTTGCTTTCTCATGTAGTACATTTCAAAAGGAAATATTATAACTATGAAAAAAAAAATTGATCTTCAGATTTTGACTATTTTTGCATTTTGAGCCCTATAAATATAACAACTTGTGCTTATTATGCTGTCTGCCTCTCTGCCTGTCAGTATATATGTATGTATGAGTGTGTGTGATGGATTTTATTCATATTCAGATTTCAGTAGTTTATCCATCATAGGTGGATATGAACATTCCAATTATAAAGATAATGGCCATTTAGATGGTCTCCAGAACTTATGTGCCATAACTCAGGTGGTTAGTCACTGGCTTTCTGCCATGGCAGCCAGGGTTTGATCCCAGGTAAGTTCATGTGTGGTTTATACTGACCAGAGTGACATTGGGGCTTTAGTTTCTCCCTGTTAACCTTTAAGTGCCGAAGTGCCCCGTTTGTGCCAGTCATGAGTGAGGTCATCATGGCCAAAGTACCTAGTTTTGGCCTTTCAGGCATTTAAACTCCACTTGTGGAAGCGCGCGCACACGCCGCTAGTAGAAGCGCATGCACAGTCCTAAATATTTATTTTTAAATGTAGTAATTACCAGACAGACTTGAGTAAAACCCTAATAGAGGAATTAAAATAATACCTAACTGAACAACAGCAAATAAAAATATACGTATGAGTTATGCCAAAACTTATCCACGATCCAGTAATTTTATTGCAGATTCTGCAGATAGGTATGTTAAAAATATATTGTAAAATTTGATGTACATACCTTTTTTGTTGTTACCTGCTTGGTGTATATACAGTTTCAAATAAAACTACAGTATTCAATTTCACTACAAACGCACACAAAACAGATCGCGCTCTGTATCTCAGCCACGATGCAGCTGTCTGTTCACTCAAATAGAAGGGGCAATATGCTTTTGCAGATCTAACGGAAGGTCTTAGCACTGAAGAAGGGACCCCTCTAGCTTTCTCTTGAATAGCCATTCTTTCATTCTTCTGACCTTCAGTCAAAGATTCGAAAATCCGAAGAGTGTAAGCAGTGCTAGCAGAAGACCAAATGATTTTATTGCTTCCATCTGTTTTATGACACCAGGGGCTGCTAAAATTTGTCAAGTGTTACAAACAGAAATGAGTTTATAATGCAGAACAACTCTGTGAAGAACTGTGAAACCAATTTTGCAATACGCATCAAAAGTAAAACAAAAAAAAAAAAATTGAAAATAGAGTATAACACTTTGTATTAAAAATTTCAAATCTTCCGTTATAATATGCGACACTATGTTCTTTTCAGATATATACACATTTAATTCCATCCATTAATCATAAAAATTGAGCTAGATACAGCATTTTTAAACACAACGCTTAAAATTGATTAACCGCCTAACAGGAACGGACATTTAAACGCAAGGGAGTAACGGGCATTTAAACGAGCACCAGCAGCGGGCACTTAAATAAACTCCGGCCAGCTCAAGTTTACCACTATTTCGAAGTCCGGCGTTTAAAGGTTAAACTGGCAGGTTTTGTAATGCAGGCCATACATTAACTCAAATATTTATACTATTATTTACAGTTTACGTTATATAGTGAAGCATTAGCTGTTTAAGCAAGAAGATAAGGAACTCTATAAATTACCTTAAATTTAATTTTGACTGAAAATACTTAACTTATTCCTTTGTTCCAGAATCCTCTGAGAACCTTATACTTTGAAAAATATGTAACGTTTATTAAGGTGGGAAGGCTGTTATAATTTCTTCTCACATCTCATTGTTTAATGGTTAGGTTTGTGTCTTCCCTAGTTTCACCAGTAAATAAAGTCTGTCATTTTCTCTGTATGTCTTCATCTGCTGCAAGTACCTGTACTTGTAGCAGTAATTTAGAGTATCTGGTCATTCTTTAAGCAGGACCATTTTAGAGTTTCACTTTCTTCATCAAAATTTCATCTCTGTCTCTGTATTCCTTCGGGGACAGTCCTGCCATTGGAAATATATTTTTCTTTCAGCACATGAAGAACTTTTTGCATGCTGGCACTCTGTTTTTTTTTAGATGAATGTTGTTTGTAGTCTCTTTTATCAGACATAGGTCATAATCATCAGTGAAAACCTTGTGCATGGGTGCTCTCTTCTGCAGGAAAGCACAGTTCTTCCATCTGTTCTTCACAGGTTATTTATTATTATTATTATTGTATTGTGCTGCCCTATTAGTTTCCATGCTTTTTGGAAGAAGCAGAAATTCTTCAAATGCCTCATTATCACAGTGTAAGTACGGGATATCTTTGCTAGTCATTTCTCCCTCCCTGAAATGAACAGGAGCATGTTTCTTACAAACGTATGATATAATACATACATACATACATATTTATTTCGTTCCAGAGATCTACAATTGGCAGTGCTGCCTTGAGATATAGAACATGTCAATAAAAAGTACATTTAAAATGATAAATTGTTAAAAATTAAATATCCAAGACATTTAAAAAGGCCACATATAATTGTAGTACATTAACAGTTGTAGAACACAAACAAGTAACACATCAAACCAAATCACAGACACGACACCGAAACAAACAACGTCAAAAATCAGGTGCCATTCACAACAATTATAAACAAAAACAGACAGATAATATTATATTCTAGATGTGACAAATAATAGGCGCAATCTTTATCTATAGGAAGCACAATCATTCCTTGATTTCCATTCATAATACTCATGTAAGGAATAAAAAGAGCCCACCTGCAAAAATTTTTTTAGGGAATATTTGAATTTCTTAATGTCCTCTGACAAGCTTTTAATTCTACATGGCAAGTTGTTAAATATCCTAATCCCACTATAAAACACTCCCTTTTGCACTTTAGTCAGTTTACAGGTTGGATAATGTAAATCTAAACCCCGTCTAGTGTGCATGCCATGAATATCTGAATTTGTTACAAACTTGTCCATATTCTTAACCACAAAAACAGATATTGAGAAAATATATTGTGAATAGAATGGAAGAATGTTTAATGCTTTGAAAATTGGTCGACAAGAGTCCCTGTTACCCGCTCTCATTATTATTCTAACTATTCTTTTTTGAATTATGAAAATTTGGTCACTATTAGTTGAATTACCCCAGAATATTATACCATATGACATGATAGAATGGGCATAGGCATAATAAGTCATCAATAGGCTTTCTAGGGACATAACTGAAGTTAGGATTCTGATGGCATAGCTAGCCGAGCTTAATTTGCTGGCTGTATATTTGATGTGTTCTTTCCATGATAAAGTACTGTCAATTGTTATTCCAAGAAATTTCAGTGTACTCGTGTTATTAATTTGGATATCCCCATGGTTTATATTGATATCTATTGGTAAATTAGGTTTTGATGAAAACTGGACACAATTTGTTTTTGTCAGATTCAAAGTTAATGAATTAATAGAAAACCATACATTAATTAATTCAAGAATTTCTTTTAAAGTAATAACAAGTTCATTGTAGTTCGACTTGCAACACAATATGCTGGTATCATCCGCAAATAAAACTGGCTTTGACACTTTATTTATTATATATGGTAAATCATTAATATATACTAAAAAGAGCAATGGCCCCAGGATAGAACCCTGAGGGACACCCTGTTTAACCTTTTGCCATTTAGAAACACCACTTTCAGTGTTATTATTCAATATTGTTCTTTGCTGCCTATCAGTCAAATAGTCTTTGAGCAACTTTCCTGCTAAACCATTGATACCATAAAACTCCAGTTTTGCAAGTAGTATTTCATGATTTACACAATCGAAAGCCTTAGTCAAATCGCAAAACAAACCTCCTACAACTAGTTTGTTATTTAATGCTGATAGAATAGTATTTATTAAGTCATGAGTGGCTGTATCCGTGGACAATTTAGTACGAAATCCATGTTGCTCATGCGCCAGGATTTTATTTATGTCGAGATGATGTTGAAGTCTATTATATATAACTTTTTCAAAAATTTTAGAAAAAGATGTCAATAGAGATATTGGCCTATAGTAATGGGAACAGTGCACAGAAAATTAAACCACAGTGACATTACAGCAAACAGTACTACACTAACAGAATACTTACTCATATGGAAAAGCATGGAGGCAAACAACTAGTACCTGCTCTGTTTTCTGCTTGCTTCACACTTGTTTCTTGCTTGACCTATTCTTTGACCTTGAAGATGCAGGGTATGTGTTTCTATGAAACACTGGTTGACTTTCAACAGACTCCATGTTGTTATATTCCTGAAGATAGAACTCATCAAGCAGGACCTGATATATTTCCCCTTATAAATATACTCATTGTGCATGTGAAGGTTTGTGAACACTGTCACCCTACAAACCTGTGTCTGTTGTTTCATCTCATTAACAGTATCTTTAATGGTTTACAATAATGCTGGAACATCATCCTTCATTATAGCAAAATCATTAAAGATTTTAAGGAAGTCATGGTGTGACCTTACCAAACTACTTTTGTGTGGTAAGTGGTTACTAACCAGTTTCCAAAGTGCAGTGTCTTCCCTAAGAAGTTGGTAAGGCACTGTAAGAAGACACATTAATTCCCTGTTTTATAGACTAAATGTTCACAAAAGTCCACCAGCAGGTCCTGTTGTGAACCAGTTTAATTCAATATGTAGCTTCACTTTAGATAGAGTCTGAAGCTTCAGACTAGATTGAATTGCTTCACTGTAGGTTCCAGTGGAGGTCTTAGGCAGAATGATTTTTTGTTTTGGTGTGTTTGGTTGCGTGATTGAATTTTGTAATAAGAATTCTTAAGATTTCAGTACATTGTCTTCTGAAGGATGAATCTGGAATACTGCTTTACCAAATGGAAACCTCATTAAGATTCTACACATTATTGTTTTAGATGAAAGTTGAAGAACTTCAAGTAGTAAACGTTTTGGATTATTTTTTGTTTCTGAAACACTAGGATAACTTTCTGGGAAAATGGCATAAAGAGGTTAAAATACAGCAGGTCTGTGGTCTGGGTTGAGAAAGCAGTAAGGACTGGAATGAAATTGATGTAAAAATGGCAGAATGCAATGAAGTCTTCTCAACTGACCAGCCACATCAAAATGAAATTAAAGCTGTATTTCAATGACTGTTTCTGTTTCCTTTATCAGGTACTTTTGTAATAAGTGACTGAAATAGATCTATATATGGTACATGCATATGTAACAGAATCCAGCCTTTATGGACCAAGAACTTGGCCAAGAGAAGCAGGATTGGCAGTCCCTGATAATGGGGCAGAGGCATTGCTTGAGATATCAGAGTTTCACTCTGCATTAATGTTGCTGATCAGATGAGAACACTTCATTGCATTCAGCTACAGTAATAGCTTCTGATTTTTGTACAAAACTTAATTGAGGTGATTGTCTTTTCTTGTTAAGTCTTTTGTACTTTGTTGTCACTAACCATGCTTGTATGTAGCGCTCCCCAGTCTCTACTAACAGTCACCCAGAAGAGGTCTTGCCTTTGGAGAGCATTAAGGATGAAATAAGCTGCTGCATGACCAAGTCAGACAGCTTGCCTCTTATGAAGGTGAGCATTTACAATGTTTGATGTGTGGGATAATGTATTTAACAAAATTATATTATTATGATTTTACTCCTGTCTGGTATTCTGAAGTAAAAGTCCATAGAAACCAAGATGATGTGCAAAAAGTGTAGTGTAGATACTAGTGTTAAAGGCCGTGGTTGCACTATTTATCAGGGATATTTATGACATTAAAAAACATTTGTCTGAAATGGATAATGATCTGATATATTATACATATTGTTACATGTTCAGTAAATATAGACTCAGAGTTTGGATTGGCAATTGGACGTATTGGCCTCTTATAAATCACATACAAAGAATTATAGCACTATGGTGAGTTCACACACTGTGCAGTTCACTACAGCATGCACAAAGTCTGTTTTGCCTTCTTTGTCTTCACTGGAGCTGCTTGATAACGCTTCCTAACGCTTTAGATTTCTCAGCTTCTGTGTTGACATCCATACTGGCTACTGACCCTCTCATAGCTCTTCACGGCTGCAACTCCTGGACAGTGATGACCTAATTGCATCTGGCCACCACTCTCTACCACTCACTTTCACTGGCTAGCACTGACTTCTGACTTGTCTGCCTGTGTCTCTCAGAAATAACTATTGATTTTGGTTCCCAGTACATGGCCTCGGCACAGACCCACAAGAGAACCCAGGCTCCCATAGTTCTTCTGTTGTGTTTGTGTATTTGTTGTCGTAGAAGCGTGGATGCAGAGCCATTATCTAGCAGTGGCCATCTCTTCTGATTTTGCTATCCTCACTTTCAATAGACATGTCACAAGTCCAAAACTTGAATTTTGAAAACTACAATACACAACATCACAATCACGCTAAAATCAAAAGGGAATTTTATGCCTGAGTAAGAGAGAGGGATGTTGGAGAGAAGGCACATTACCTATTGCCCAGCTGCCAGAAGGTCAGAAGGAAGGGATTGGTCTAAGTGTGGCACATGGGGGTACCACATCATAAATCAGGTGAAAGGGAATGTGATGTCACATTACAGAAAGAAATGCACAATGGAAGTGACTGCCTATTGCCTTTGAACTGAGCTGAGCTGAGGGAATGGCTCAATTCTGACATTGCCATGTTACAAGAGGAACATACTAGAGGATGCATTGTTATTTGATTGAGGTCCCACATTCTTGTCTTTAATGAAGCTGAATACATATATGTTTGAAGTTGGTAAGTATATTTGTAATCATGCTGTAAGTGAAACAACACATGACATTAGTATCAAATTAAAGCTCATACCATCTGACATCATAAGAATGAATGAAGGGATAAATGCGTGAAAGAAAGAAAATACAATGTGAATGAAAATGTTATGAACATCCTTTCTGGTGAAAATAAGTACAGTTACATTCTGTACCCTCAGGAAATAAAATGGATATGCTAATGGGTTAATGCAGTGGTTCTCAAACTCTTTACCTCTGAGCCCCTCCTGACAAGAGAAAATACTCTCAGGCCCCCAGCCTGTTTCTTTTTATCAAAATAGAAGTCATGGTATGTTTGACATTTTATTCAGTTTATTTTGTGTTTTTCTACATACTATTTAGCAGTTTTTTACCCAAAATTAAAGTATCACAATATTAGGCCTACAATAAAAATTAGTTTTAACACTTCCAATTAACCAAAATATGTATTGAAATGAGACGATATTTAACGATCAAGTATTTAATTTTTTTCTGCAAAGAAAATCAAACATTTAAATGTCAAACTTCAGTGCAATGGATGGGCCTGCTTTTGAGAACAAAGTTTATCAAACCGTGGTGTAATATCAGAAATGACCACTCTAACTTCTTTAGGAATATTTAGCTTTGAACAATACTTTGACTTTATAGCTACCAAAGCAGAAAAGCCTGTCTCGCATAAGTAAGTTGTTGCGAAAGGAATCAGGATCTTCAATGCCTTTTCGCTCAAAGTTGGGAATTCCTTGCCAATATGTATCCAGAACTCCAACAAAGACAATTCCTTAAATTTACTTTTTAATGAAGTATCACTAGTGAGATCGATGAGTTGTTCTTGCTCATTTACCTTCAGAGATGATGGCCCAGGAGCATTTTGGAATGGATTTTTAATCCAATTAAATTTATCAAAATCATTGCAAAAGTATTTTTCGAAATGAACTTTCAACATTATGAGATGATCAAGTAGGCAGCTTTTTATGTCCATTGAAAGCACTGGATTATCAGTGTCTTGTACCATTGACACTAGAGTAGGGAAAATGTCTAGCATGTCACTTTCCATGCTGTTTCTCCAGAGCTCTAATTTTCTCATGAATGCCTTCACTTTGTCATTCCAAGAAAGTACAGTTGCCTCATTCCCTGGAAGTGAAGTGTTGAGGATATTTAGTTTCTCAAATATATCTGTGAAGTAAGCCATTTTCAATAAAAAGATCCTTGTTGTTGAAACTGTCTGCCAGTGAGTGATTTTCCCCATTTAAAAAACAGAACACCTCATGCCTCAGCTTAAACATTCTCTTTAATACCTTGCCTCTTGAAAGCCATCGAGCATCACTAAAAAAACAACAGAGCAGTGTGTTCGGCACCCATTTCCTCACACAGCATTTTAAAAAGTCTAGACTTCAGAGGATTTCAGAGGATGCGGCTGCTGCCCAACTATCAACGCTGTCTCTGGCATACACGTTTTATAATTGCCAGTAAAGAGAATAATTATTAGTTATTTTGAAATTCATGATAATTAAAGCCTGTACTCATCAAAAGTTTTTCTATGTGTATTTTTATTTTTTGTTACTTTTCTAATTGATTTAGGGCAATTTTAATTCTTATCTGTAGGAAAGTATGCTGGGCCCCCCTTCAAAGACCTTTGCGCCCCACAGTTTGAGAACCACTGGGTTAATGCAACAAAAGGTTCCTTTAGTGGTGTGTTATTACAACATTTAGTAAAACCTCTAAAATTGCAGGTTATGGTATGTCCTCATGAAGGTGGCTTGCTCCTAGTGTTTACAGAGGTACTACCCATTTCAGACTTTGCTTTCTTTGCCATTGTGTTTTCTTATGCACTCAACTCTTTGCATGTTGATGCTCCATGTTACATGTATTTCATAATACTACACATTTGTATTGTTATTACTTTTACTGCTTTGGAGTGCCCAAAACATCTGGGGAAACTAGAATGAGATTGTCATATTTAGCAAATTCATATTTCTGTAGGGCATTTTTATATCAGGTCTTACAACCCTCTATTGTAGCGGCCTGCATTGGTCTTCATTTCCTTCTTGTGAAGGCCTTTATATGGTTTTACGTTGGATATTTATACACAAAATAATATGATAGGTGTTACAGCCATGCACATTAGAGAACATGGTGTTTATTCACAAAGCCTGGCATCTGATTTGAGAACACTACTTAAGTATGACATATTCTCTGCTGAGAATCCAAGTAAACAAAGAACCCCACATTACAAATGGACTGATTCTCCTATAAAATTTGCACTCAACTGGAAAATCATTTTAGGTTTTTAAAAACTTCTGCCCAGTCACTGAGGCGCAACTTTTGAGGAGCAGATAATGTGCCATTTTGTTCTAAAGTATGTGTATCACCTTTACATCAGTCTAGATGTGTTCATATCAGTTGATGTCAAGTAGTGATAGATTATTTCCGCTTGGTTTGTTTGAATGTAAGATTGTTGGAATTCAAGTAGGCATTGGTATATATAGGAGCCAGGATAACATGGTCGGTATAGTGACTGCATGCTGGATGACCAAGGGGTCAGAGTTCGAGTCCCAGTGTGGGATAGAATTTTCACTACTTCATGTCCTCCATACTGCCTCTGGGGTCCACATAGCCTCCAATCCAATGGGCACAAGGGGCTCCTTCCCTGAAGATAAGGCAACCAGGGTGTGAAGCTGACCGCTTACCTCCAACTAGTGCTGAGGTCAAGAAAATGTGGGTCTATACCTCCGCTGCCTCAAATGTGGTCATGGTGTAGTGCTGAATTAGTTAAGTACAAGGACAGGTTTACCCTCTACCTTTATTGGTCCTTATAACAGGATGAATCTCAGAGAGATAGGATGGGATGGTATGGATTGGATTGATCTGGCTCAAGTTGGGAACCGGTGGAAGGCTCTTGTGAACACGGTAATGAACCTTTGGGTTCCATAAATTGCTGGGAAGTTCTTGAGTAATTCCACAATTGGCAGCGTTCTCAAGAAGGGCTCAGCTCCTTGAGCGAGTGAGTATAACAGGAGGGGTGCACTGAAGCAGCAGAGGACAGTGTTGTTCTGCAGGCATGGCAGCTTGAGACAAGCAGTGATGGTAGTGCAAGCAGCAGCCAATGTGGAGGGTGGAGTGGGCAGGGGATGAGTTATGTGCTTCAAATCAATGTTAATGCCTGATACTGATGAATCAGAATTAATCTGATTGTTGAATTCACAGGAAGAAGATTCCAGGCTGCAAGTCAGCACTTCAGACCGAGGACTCCAAAATTCGAAACCTCCCTGCCCTCGCAGACCTAGCACTAGGGTGAGTTTTATTGAATCATTCAACATCTAATTATTTTTTTGCGACACTTTCTTTGCATTCTTTGGCTGTAGATTTTATGATTTGACTTTTCACTTCATGAGTTTGTTTTGCATTTGTGTCCTCTTTGCTTCTTATATTTTGTTGCATTCTGTTTGTGTTAATCACTATAGATAATACTATATTCCTGTCACACAACACTATTTCCAGTGGTAGAATTTGTTGTCCAGGACAATATGTTTTGGCACATGTGTGCCATCTTCAGGTCCTGTTTTTAGTTACAAGTATTCTATTGTGTATTTAACATAAATTTTCCATATAAACCAAGTTGATCCACTGTTATGTTATACACTATGTATACTATATACTAATGTGGCGTATAGGCCTGTTGCTAGGCAAAGAGCTCAAAATAGACAATGAGGCAACAACTGTTGCTATACAGTGGCACGGTAAACACGCCACTACAACAATAGTTATTGTTGGAAATATTGTTGTACAACCTGTTGCTAGGCAGCTGCCACAGTTGTACTACAGCAAAAAAAAAATGGGAACAGGAATGTTTTCTATGTGGTCAGTGCTGAGGAGTTATCTTGGAGACAGTTGGGGTGACACAGTTAATTGTTAGTTCAGAGCTGAGTTCTGCAAGGGAGGGTGAGAAGAGAGGACCTAAGTGCATGAAGCTGAAGAATCTCCACTGTTAGCAGCTGCTGCCAGAAAATGGCTGATGAAGAGATAGCAGGCTGGAAAAAGTCTTAGTGGCTGCTATGGTGATTTGTAAAGTGTGGAGATACTGATAGCACTGTAAATGACTTGTAGTTCCGAGTGGTGTAAGTGATCAATGAATCCATTCACCAATGCACTCCCCATCTAGTCACACCTCCTATATTGTGATCTATAATCAACTGATTTTTTTATTTTTATGTATAAAAGATGTCTCACATGTGGAGAAACTTGTCCTAGATAGCAAATTCTATCTGCTATGAGTAGTGTTGTGTTGACAGGAATACAGTGAACATTATCTGTAGTCCTCTTTGTTTATTCTTCATGAGATGCAATACATTTTGAAAGGGAGGCAGAGATATGTGGGGTAACAATCCACTACCTTCTTCCTGTTGGCCTTCCCTCTGCTTTTTCTTAGGTGCTTGCAGTCATCCATAGTTGTGGAGTACAGTGCAGTAAATAAGTTGCATTAGGACTTAGTGGGCATGTAATCATTAAATAAACAGAGTAAAAATAATAATGATGTAGGATTTGAGGTTGTCGCAGCAGTGTTATGAAGAGTTCTGTCTTCTGGGATACAAAAGTGATGTAATCTGTTGAAAGTCAGCCAGTGTTTCAGAGGCGACATATTCCTCCTAAACGTCAGTTAACTGTTGATAAACTGCACAGCATTATATTCCAGAAGATAGAACTCCTCAAGTAATAAAAAAGCTGTAACATGTGCAGTGGGCTCTTAAGTTTACACTGCTGATCACTGTTTTTGGTGTAGTCACTCTTCAGCTGTGTAGTTAACAGGTAACAGGTCTAAGGCCAAGTATCAGGAATAATCAAATGAAATAATAACAGATGATAAATTAAAAATTGACAATCAGCCAGAGGGGCATGGCTGGTAGGGAACAAAATACTGATTAGTGCAATCTGCCAAAAGTGAGCATACCGGCATGAAACAAGGCCAAATAAGAAATTCAGAATTGAGCTGCTGAACACAACTTGAACCTTGCTGACCATATGGTCCTATACCACAAGAGATTTGACTAGCCACTTCTAGAACTTCAGCCAGGAACACTGCAGCTGCTAGGGCAGTAATCTGCTCAGAAGCCAAATCAGAGATAGATTTCCAGTGGTCCTCATTTGCACTTTCAAGTCCAGCGAGCAGTTAAAGGGGAGGAGGTAGACAAGAAAATGCTGAGTGGGAAGAGAAGGTGGAAAACACAGGGTTTACAGGAATGTAACTACAGACTTGTTCATAATATAGTATAGACTGAGCTGCTCAATTTTTAGCCTGTAATTACTCTGTTTAAAGGTTTTATCTGTTTGTTTATTTATTTATTATGTTATTGCCTCTTCAGCAGGTTGGTATAGTGGTAACACTCTAGACTTGTATTCAGGAAGTGCTTAATTAAAATATTGGCAAAGACATCAGTAATCCTGAAATAATAATTTATTCTTATGATACCATCACTACACTAATATTTTGTTCTTTCTGTTGTGGACTCTTACCTTACAAAAACAACAAAGCAATAAAAAGGGCAAAGTCTTATTGTATTGTGACATGTTGACCCCTACCTCCCCTACCAGCGGTAACATAGCGCTCGCGTAATAGGCGAGTCATCACCCCACCACTCTCCCCGCGGTGACGTCACAGCGGATGATTCTGCAAAATAAATTCTATTTATTGTCACAAGATGCTGCAATTAAAGATCCTGACTGAAGTTCTTTGTGGTTTTTTTATTTCCTCCTTAGCAGACAAATACCTGAATAGTATCTTGGCTAGGCCACCACTGCTTCCTTCCAAATCCCTTAATTCATCATTCATCAGATGTCCTACTATTTATGTGCTATACAGTAGCATGATGAGAATCTTCAGGCTTAGAATCACAAAACTTCAAGTTTCATGATTAATTTTGCATTTTGTAATATAGAAAACTACTACTTTAATAACTCTATCTCATGAAACAGGTTGGTCTTCACTCTGGAGTTGTATTGAGAGGCACTTGGTTCAGATCTCAGCTGGAACACTGGCTATCCTCGGCAGGGTTTTCATGGTTTTCCTCAGTCCCTCCAAGAACATTCTTGGATATCGCATTTAAGCCATAACCTTTTCCTTCTGAGTCATTTCTAGTTCATCATTCTTCAGTCATCTGATCATTCAACACTATGTAGCTAAGATGCTAACAGTGTCATAAAATAACCTAGAAAAGAAAAGACTTTAATCTTTTTGTGGTTTACAGCTGTTTCTGTTTTCCATGTGTGATGTCTGCAGAATGAACCTTATGTTCACATTCAAATAATCAAACTTTGCAATTTTAATTTTAGGTCAGTAAAGTTAAACTGTTCTCTGTTGTGTACATTTCAGAGTTCCAACATCCTGTCAGCTGTTCTGTACCTGATTAAGGAGCTGGATTATCCAAACTTGGAGGCAGTGCAGGTGGCCATCCGTTCACGAATGGATGAACTGGATGTTTAGCATGAAAATTCCCATACCAGTAGGCTGTGTTGTTTTTGCAGTCGGGTGTGAAATAGTAACAAGGGTTGCAGGAATTCTGCATATTCCATAATAAAGTCTGGAATAATAATATGGTATTTGATGAATTACATGAGTGCCTAAATATGGTACTCATCCTAGTTCTGTCACCATAAAAACAACCTAGGAATAATACACAACTGTGATTTCTTGAAGAATGTTTTTGTTTGATAAATTAAGTGACAGTAAGCTATACTGACAAAGGAGAAGCAAAGGAAAGATTCAAGAAAATGGATTTTATTTGGCAGTCATGCCAGTTTGGTACACGAGTGTGTGCACCATTAGGTATTAGATATACTTCCCTACAAAACAATGTTTTAAGCAAGAGTCCCTCAGAACCAAGATCATCTTATGCACAAACATAAATGTGAATCTGAAATCCTTAAATGCTACTTGATGTTTAACAGCTGTTGCACATTGCTTAAGTCACACCATAATTATTTATAATTGAAAGTCATGTTTTGTGCATGTAATTAATATAAAGATTATAATAAAATAATGTTTGGTGGGATAACATGAACACAAGTACCACAAATACAAAGTCATCAGGATGGGCTTGACACTGCATGCTGTTTTCAGCAACTGATATGACATAAACACAAGAGCCAAGCAGCAATCCAGACAACTAACCGTGGGTGCATTAATAGTGTAAATGGTGTTCTTTAACTGGCCTGCCTATGTCAGCCAATGCAATCATAACAAGCCTCAGTCTTGCACATTAGGCTATAATCTTTAAAAGCTAGCAACATTATCATAATACCCAAACCCCTTGGCTCAACCTGCCAAGAGAAATATATATGAGGCTCATTTCAAAATTAAAGTGGATAGTATGAGACTGGAAGAAAAATTATGCTTAAGAATAAATATACTAATGGGAGAGACACTGCCTAGTGGCTAAATCTTGAGAAGCACTGGGGGCTTCTTTCCCTGGGGTGAAGTGGTGGGGGCATGAAGCTGACTGCTCACCTGCATGTAGTGCTGAGGTCAAGAATGGCGGAGTTATAAGAGATTCATTTTCTTGGTATGGTCTTGTAAAGCACAGGGACAGCTCTACCTTTTACTATCATGCATGACAGATGAGAAAAAAACAGCACTGTGGTCATATATAAAGAACCGAATTCCCTGCTCAGGTTGTTGTTCTTGTGCATGAAAAGGTTTAATGGATCAAGAAGGAATAGCTTCATAATATATGAAATGGGCGACCCAGTGGCTTGCAAAAACAATATAGCCTATTGGTATGGGATGTGTTTAAGCCACATACAACTTAGAACACAAAGAAACACCAGGCAAGAAACGGCACTAACATGGCATTTATTCCTGGAGGTTTAACATCATTGGTACTACCACTGTTTGCATGCCTTAACAAACTTTCAAGGGATAGTGTTCACATGCTGTGGAACAAGCATGGAATGATGAAACTGTCATCAGATCTTTCAAGAAGTGTGGTATATCAATCCAGTGATTGGTATAGATTTTTTGTGGCAAAATGAGGGGAAGCTAAAGCGGTACCATTTGATTCAGAGTTTGTCTGTATGGTGTTGCATTTACAGATATATGCCCTTGCTTTGTATTAAAACATTAAGTTGTACACAACTTAAATGTATGTAAGTGTGTATGTATATACATACATCTTTTCTCATTTCTCAATGGTAACTTTCATATTTTAATGGAATTATTACTACTACTGCAATACAGACTCCGTTGTTTTGTATTTCACTTGTGTTTTGTTGTGTCTTTCTTCATACTCATGCTCACTTTGTAATTGGACTCTGGGCTGTTAAGTTTGCATGTAAATAAATAAGAATTGCATTGAATTGAATTTAGTCAGAGTTGATGATAATGATGATACAGGATTTAATGAATTTTTGTTTAAAATTGAATCTCACTGTCAAATGTAGCCCAAACCTTAAATTTTTAATTGAAAATTCAAAGCCATCATATGCAACAGTTGTCCTATACACTAGTATATGTGGTACACACTAAGGATAATGTTTTCTTGTGTTTCTGCTCTATATAGTTCCTTGGGTTTGTTCCTGCCCATAGCTTCAAACAACATACTAGTTCTTAGCACTGCAATTTGGTCTGTCTTTTCACAAAACATTCAGAGTGGATAATACAGGATTCATTACCTGTGTCCTGTGTGATTACAGTAGCCTGAAGTAGACTAATGGAATCACTCTTCTCATATCCCACACTACTGGTGCCTATAAAGGCCATAATGGAGCCAACACATTTGTGTATTTTTTAATAATGCATACATGACACTGGACAGTGATTTAATTGGTTACACTGCCTTACAGATTAATTACCAAGACAGAAGTAGTAGTAGCTATAAGAACAGCATTAATTTTTTAACCTGGTCACAGTTGTTGGGATGTAGCAGAGTTATAGCTACTCTAGAAGTGTCTGTATGTTGTAGAGGTTTCTTCCGGAATGCTCCAGCACAGCCACAGTTGAATTGTCACACTCAAACACTCAATACAATAGTTGGTGCCCAAACATCCAGCAAATTCACGGTTCACTCATATGTGAATGGAAGGCCACCTCCACTGCCTCCAGGTTTGGATAGTCATGTAATGGGGCTGTCCTTTCATGATCTGGAATCATCAAGCTGTTCACATGGTGCATGTCTATACATAATTCAGGTTTCTTATGTATCTTGTGGAATACTGTGATAGGATTGATGTACAATGAATCAGAGACCTCAAAAACATCATCTTCAACCATCTGATATATTTGCTCTCTTGTAAATAAGTCTTATAGCAAAAGGAACTACTCTGATACTCTGGAATGTCCAGTCACCAGTTTCTCATTTGTTAATTTGAACTCATAATCAAACAGTTTACATATTCCTGGCCTCAAGCTACTCATACATTTCACCATCAACTCGAAACTTTCCTTCCTTGTCTAATAAATAGGTATTTCTGTTTATAATGTTGACTAACTCAGCAGGATAAATACTCTGTGAGTCTGGAATGTCATTGTTAAATTTGTGAACTTGGGTTGGGCTCCCTTCTGTATTTACTGTGTTACAACTGTGTACCTCCTTGTCTCTATTCAGATTTTCATTAATGAAACTTAAGCCATAAAATTGGCTTACAAAATCATCATCTTCAGTATTTTCAGTGCCATTATCTGAAATTTTCAAGGAAAAATTCTTCTTGCATATATACCTCTGTTTGCTTCTACCAGGGACTGCTGCACTCTTGTTGAGGTCATGTGATTCTCAGCTGTGTTTAGTTTGGTTATATAAATCCTTGTCATGCTGCGAAATAACTTGCAGACAGTGGTGTCCATAAACTCTGCTGCTAGTGTGATCATCATAAATGTTGTCAGTAGACAGTGAATTTTGAAACATTAAAAACTGGTGAACCATGCATGCATCTATGCTCTAAAAATTACAAAAATATGCTTTCAGAATGCCAAAACAAAAACTTAAATGGCATGTATACATGATGCATGCACTAAATTGCTGATGTTCTCTCTCTGTGATGTCTGTACACTTCTTCCTGGCTGTAATTTGTGTTGCAGTATGTCACAGTGTGTATATATATATTGTGGAGCAAGTTTTTGGTGCTTGTTAAGTTTGTCTGTGGAGAAGGACCTTCCAGTGTCCGCAGAAGTGACGACAATATTTGAACGTAGCTTCAAGATTTGGCAATATCTTCTTCGAAGCTCTAAGCCCTCTCATATAAATATTTCTTGGTAGCAGTGACAGCCTTCCATTCTGGATTTCTTTGAAAAATATTGCACAGTTCTATATTTACACTAGCCACATATTGTAACCAAATGTGCCAGACAAGTTAATATGACTGAGATGTGGATAAAATATGTCCAAACAGGAGCTACTTTTACCATATAGCAGCAGAGTGTGATAGGTGTACACAAAACATATCTTTATTCCTTCCTTCCAGGTTACAAATGATAGAGAATCATAGCAGAATAAACAATTATAGAGTAATTTGTTCATTCTAAGACCTTACAGGCAGTTAGATGCAGTGTTCCCCAATCATTTTCATTAAGCTTTCCTGGCTGAAATTTCATCCACCATGCCCAAAATCTTGGTGTCTTCTAAGTTCTCTTGAATCTCTCAAAGGACTGATTTATCCATATACATTTTCCATATTGTTGGGGCTTGTAAGATATAACATTTCTCCAGGAAAACTCAGAGATACTCATTATTCAGTTTATTTCACGGTACATTTGCAGCAATTGTTGTTTCACAGAGTTTATGATAAAGAGCTTTGATTTCAGAAGAAGGTTGAAGAGTAGAACTGTAGAACATAAGTATACAGTAAATTGTATTTGACAGTTTTACATGATGATGATGACGATGATGTTGAGGAGGACTGATAATTGTTATAGTGATAGTGAATGTAATTATGATGACAATAACAATAGAATAACAGTATAATAATAGAAGTGTCATGGACCTGCAAACAGAATGACTGGAAAATATGGTAAAATATCCCATTTTCAGGAAAAGTACCATTAACCTGGAAAATAAATTATCCAAGTTTTTTCTAAATCTGTTTGTTCTGTTTAATTTTGAGGTAGGATTTTAAATATTCTTGGAAGTCCAGTGAATTAATCTACAGATGAAATCAGCGATTCCAGACTTTATAAGCCTTTGTTTAATAAATGATTTCACATCACAAAATGTAGCAACTTACCTGTTTAAAGCCACAGAGTTAACCAAGCCTATTGTTTGTATAGCAAATGTCTGGATTGCTTCCGCAAATGCTAAGAAATTGTTAAAATGTTTGCCTATGCTACATTTGCAGGAATATGAAGTTTCTCAAAGTTGTGGATAAATTGCAGAATTATTTTTGAAAATTTATTCAGTGATCCTACAAACATGTTCATATCATTTCATTCTAAATACAGGGTAATTCATAAGTCTCTCCTGAAACCCCAACGATAATTTAGAATCACAGTACCCTTGTAGCCATGTATTTAGTCTACAGAGTGATTTTAAATTATTGTTGGGGTTTCCAGAGGGACATATGAATTACTCTGTATTTTAAATGCAAATGAATATCGAAGTGCAGTGGCCGCAAATGATCATTGATACTGCTGGACTGAAGACAGCACTGCCAGTGAGGTCGCATGTTCTATTGTGTGTTGTATGTGGACACTGTTAGGAGAACAAAATGGCTGGTAGGTGATTTTTGTACTGTGCTGTATGCATCTTTTAGTACAAAGAAAATTTTAGAGCCACTTATAACATACAGAACTCTTTTGGGCAGTATTTCTAATATCTCTATCTCTTGTGAGACCTGAGGTTGTTACTGCACTCTTTATTCACTGCAAAGTCTTGTAGATATTGTTTCATGTCATTACAATAACAGTTATCTTAGTTCCTCTTAAATTGTAATTTTTACCATTCTGACGCATAAGACTACTACTTGTTTGGTGGTGTTTTAAGTTATGGCAACTAATTTGCTTATGTCCACCAAATGACCAATTTTGCTTATATGAATGCATATATTTGTCCAGTTTAATACGTAAATGTACAGAAATTATTAATATAATACACTAAGTTTAAGAATTAAGGGAATGTTAAATGTTAATCCAAGAGGTGAGTCATAAGGATCTGAAGGAAAACTGATTTCAGAAAGTCCATAAAATTAATGAAGAGGAAGCAAGTATATGAACAAAAAGTCGAAGTTATGCTTGCCACAGAACACAAATTGTGTCCCCATAGAGTCCAATTTTTGGCCTACTTTTCTCATTTTGGAAAAGAAAAATGAGAGTAGGCTTATATGATCTCCATGCTGTCAGTGTATCCCTCCCAGTAACTTTTGATTGCCTGAACCAGTCTTTACGAATCTTGGTATGTATATTTAGGCACCTGAGCCCATCTTAATGGTGTACTTCATAAATCCCTCACATCAGTCTGTCTCTCTGTATGTATATCCCATATCATTGCTAGGCAGTGGTTTAATAAAATTCCTCTTATTATTGCTAAGTGATGGCTATGTAAAACTGTTACTGCAGCAACAAATATTCACATGTTTTCTATGCCGTCCATGTAATGTCAAGGAAAGTAGGCAATTAGTTTTCCCCATACTTCTTGTATTAATACAAAATTTTTCAGAAGTGAAATATTTGGATGGAATATATGTTTCACTTCCTCATATGGAGGCAGGTTAGAACACCTGCATCATAGCCCCATGAGCCATAGAACGCAGTGTAAAGGGAACCTGGTTCCTGGGGGTATATCTGGGCCACCCTGTCACTGGGGAACATAAATACAGAGACCTGGTCCACCAGGTTGGGGGTGGGATGCAAGGCTGACAAGTTTGTAAAAGAATTGCTGGTGAGAAATCCAAATAAGTGAAAACTGGATGGTCCAATTGAAGACCAATCTGGCAGAATCTTCTAAGGAAGGCTGTGCCTCAAAAAGGGTTATTTTGCTAATGAAGATGATTTGTTTCATTCATCATAGAATCTCTGTTCAAAGCAGTTTACCATCAAATGGGATGGAGATGTTTTTAAGGTCTCTTATGATCTTCATGTAAAATAGTCTGTTTTGTTCAAAGATGAATTTGGTTAAAAAATGTAATGACTCATTTAATGATGGTGTCTTTGAATGCCTCAAAACTGAAGAGGCTGAAATAGTAACAAGAGCTGAAATAATTCTCCATGTTCCAAAATGGCCTCAATATATGCACTAATTTGACCAGTTTTCATTAATTTTAATGTTAGCCTCACTGTACTGTGCAGTCAGCCCATGAGGTCTAGCACTTTTGCAAGTGTCCCTCTTCCCTTTCTTTGGATCCTTATGAACACACATTCATTGTATCCTATATCTTATTTTGTATAATTGTGCACTGTTTGAGTCTGTTGATAACTTAAGACAGGGTGACCACACTTCTGAATAGAATGTTTACTGTGAAACTGTTTTAACAGATTTACTAACTGTATGTGTGTATATCAGATCCTGTAAGAATATGAAATATTTGCAGGCCACAGATAGGAAGAAACAATATATATGTAGTGGGGCCACATAAGTAAATAATGGTGCATGGGACAGGGTACAAATATCATCTGTTTTCTGTTGAGTGTACATTTGATTGCTTCTGTAGTTCATTGTTGTGTGATCAGAAACATTGCAGAACTAAATAGACCCATATTTACAATTAAAGTCATTGTAATAAATTTTATGGGCAAGTCTGAAATTGCGGCCATGTGGTAGGATAGTTGTTTGAGGCACTATGCTACAAGCTGGAAGTTCACGGTTTCAATTCCTGATGAGGTCATTGGATTTTTCAGTTGACCTAATCCTTTCAGCTGCACTATGGCCCTGTGGTCGACTCAACCTCTAACAGAAATGAGTGCCAGGAATCTTCCTGGGGGGTAAAAGGCAGCCAGTGCTTAAGGCTGACAACCTCACTGCCACCTATGAGTTGATTGTCTAGAAAATGTGTGTCTTGACATCCCACAACTCTATGGGCCTCCATGGCCAGTTACAATGATAGCTTTACCTATGTACATATGTAATTATCATTTTCTTTTTGTAAGACCTGGTTTCATAAGCAAACTGAAATGAAAATGATTCTATGTTCCTCAGAAATTTTTTTAGACCATGTTTTATACCTATGTAATAGCTTGAAAGTAGTTAACAAGAAATACACATAGCTGGTCTCACTAGGCGTAGTAATGGAAATGATGATGTTTTGCATTGTGGCCACCCTGAAGAAAGTGTTTGTGTGCATGCAAGTTATGAACTATTGACATAGGAATTTTATATAATTGTAAATCTTATGGCGGCAGCTAACAGCAGTGTTAATGATAGAGCTTGTTATAACCGAAGGTTGTGTTTTAATTGTTGCTTACAGAGGTGGAGATTATGTAATGAGGCTTTAATAATGCAAAATGGCTCAGAGTACTTATTCCTGTGAACTTGGCCCTTGTTTAAAAGGGACAGCATGTGTTCCAATTTGAACTTCTTTTACACCTCCACTGTGCTTCTGCCTGAAGACTAAAACTCAAAATGTGAATTAAATATTAAGGATGCTCTCAGGTATCTTTCTCTGATGTGCCTTATAGGCAATGGCTTCCTTACTTAATTGATAGATACAGACCTCTGTTAACTGTTGCTTTTGAGGCAATTCAGCATGCTGTGTTCAGCTACAAACACAGACTTATAACTTGCACAGAGCATCCATTGTAGTTTGGAATAACCGTAAGGGTGATTTTTTTAAAATATATGACAAACGATGTACTAAAAACTGAAATGTTTGTGACCCACAATCCTTCAGTTAAGAAACTGGAATTATGTTGCTTCCTGTCATTGAAAGATGTTATATTCTTGCAAATTCACTTGTTGGTGTTGATTGTCTCTTTTAAGAATGGTGCCAAGCTTCACACTAGTGGGTGTAGTCACAATGGAAGATCTTGCCAACTTTGTATTTCCAGCAGTAGCACAGCCACTAGAGGGAAGCAGAACTGATGTACTTAATGTTGCAATGTACAAGTTTTGGTAGTTTTAGCAGTAGCAGTTTTATGTGTGTTGATTACTTTGCAGACCAGCTGATTGTGATGGTGGTACTATAAATGAGTGGTCGGCTGGCACTGCTTATGCCATTTGGTATTGTTATTATGCAGATATTTAGAACTGAATGAATTTATATTTTGGTTATTTAGTAGTCATACCAGTGCCATGTATAAAAATATTTTGACCAAACTGGTATGATTCAGTCAGAACTCATGATTACTAGAGATTAAATTCTGAATGTTAGTAAGTGCACTGTGAACTATTAATTTATTTAATGATACTTTCTGTAGCTCAGGTTATGTAGCATTAAGCACTGTCAGCAAACTGCATGTGAAAAAAGCAGAAGATAGTTCATAAATTAGTACATGGTAAAACCCATTACCATACTTATTATATTTTTACAGCTGGTTATACGATTTTATATTAAAATTGTTTAAGAAGTCGTTATTTTAGAACTATAATTCTGACATGGGTTAACTGGCCAGAATGTTCATGTTAGGCATGATTCTGTGTGAGGAGAACTGTGATTGAGTTTAGGAACTTTAACCCATAATATTGAATCCTTTTTTATTGTTGGAAGTGCTGGTGTGTGAACTTTTAATTCAGATAACAATTTGAAGTTCAGTGCAGTCACTAATTCTGATACATTATAACACATCCTTACCTCCATTACTCTCAGCTTGAAGCAAAACAGAGTTAATAAACAGAGACATTTCTATGAGTTTGTCATTCTTCTCTTGTTTAAAGAGTGTTGACTGTTGAATACAAGTTTCCCACATTATGAATTGAAACCTCATTTCAATATTCCATGCCACCTTATATTTTTATTTATTGATTGTTTAACAGTGCTATCAGTAACACAATCTTTATTTTCATTTCCATAGATCCCCACTGGCTACCAAAGCCATCTGATATAGAATATGTCACAATTTACATACATTAGTTCTGAGAACAGAAACTAGTGTTGAATGGTAAGATGATTAATGAATGACATATTGTAAGAGATGTTGAAGGAATTGGTTATGGCTGTAAAGACTTTGGATGTATAATGCAGCAGTGTCTCCCCCTGTATGGGTTACTGCATGAGTCACAGCTGTGAGAAAAAGGTAAGAGAGTTTGCAACAACCCAGGGCTGAAAGAAGTGGCAACACTGAGTGGATATCTGAATTTTCCACCCCACTCCCTGACCTAGTGTGTTCAGTAGACAGATGACGCCGAGGTGTGTTGTCTATGACTGAGATGAAGTGAATTTGTCAGCCCAAGCCATGGTCTTTGTCTCCAGGAGTTGGAAGAGTGAAGCTAGACTTATTTTTGTAGATGCAGTAGGCATCAAAGCTAGCTGGCAGACTTTAGGAATGTGAGCATGCCTGCAGTGATTATATAGGACAGAAACATATACTCACATGGATAAGAATAGTGGCTTTAAATGTTAGGCAAGAAGACTATGGCTCTTAATGCCACATTCGGAGTATAAAATGCAAGGGATCATCATAAACCTGATTACCATTAAACACATTTTCAGACAATGAAGAAAAATGCTTGAGTTTTCAAGAGGGAACAACTTCTATGACTCAACTGGTGACCATTGTGAAGCATAATGATTACTTTGAAAATGTCAATGCTGAGAACCATAAAGTGGTTTCAGCATGATAGCTGAGGTTCTCACAGCAGTGAGCCTGAAGAATACTATCTTAAGGGATGTGATGCCAAGTAATCTGGTTGTGAATTTTATCAGTGTTTTGGGGAAAACAAACTGCTGTGACTCTCCCTCTTCTCCTTGCCCTTAGGGGTTCCTACTCTAAGGTCCTTTCTGTACCACAGTGACTGGTGAAAAGTTCCTGTCTATGATGGAGGACACTGCTTTGCATCACATTCCTCCAAAAACATTTTTCCACTTAGATGGAACACCGCGGCCTCCATAGTCTAGAGGTAACGTTCCCACCTCATGACTCGTCATACGCGGGTTCAAATACCCGGCGGAGGTCGTCAAATTTTTAAGGGCAGAAAAATTCAGGGAACAAGTCTTCCTGGTGGGACTTTAAGCCGTGGGTCCCGTGTCGTAGCTTTACGGCACGTAAAAGAACCTCATACCTCCAAAGGAGGTCACTGAGCAAAATTGCGGACGTTTGCCGCCCAACAGCAGTCACTAATACCTCCGGTAGAGGGGAGAAGCATTATAGATACTTCTCAGCCAGTAGAGAGCCGGTCTCACTGGCTGGGCGGGACTGATGGTAAGCACCAATACCGGTAGGATATAGAGGCTGGTAGAAATCATAGAGGGAAGCACAGTGGACCACTACAGGTCTAAGTGCATGGGGAAACCCACCATCTCTAATAATTAACTAACTAGATGCAACACCACCTTGCTTTCCTTTTTGTGTTGATGCCTTTCTGGACAGCTTTCTGATAGTTGGGTAGGAAGAGGGGGGTTAAATTCCCTTGCTCCCTTGTTTTCTGGGCATTATTCCTATATATTTCTTCTGGGTTTATGTAAAAGATACTGTTTGTCAAGAAAAGGTGCAAAATGTAAATGAGTTGCATGAACAAACTGTTAAAGAGTTATAGAGTATGCTAATAAAGAAATGCTTGCCAGCATCTGGCAAGAACTGTCACCTTGAAATGTGTTGTGCCATTAATGGTGCCCATACTGACATCCAGAGAGCATGTAAGCAACTTTATGAGTGTTTGAAAATGTATCAGTTTCTTCCATCCACGTGGTGACCAAAGCTAATCATATTATATTTTATTCATATTTATGGCTGGACAGGGCACAGTGGATTAGGTAGGTTAGCAATGATAAATTGGGTACTTTTTTCACTTGTTTGTGAGAAAATGGTTAAACATTATCCCTCTTGTTTATTTGAATAAAATTTTTGGCTATATTGTCACAAATATGCATTTAAAAAATATTCATTTGTAAATACTTTGGCATGAATCACAGAATCTTTATTCTATTCAGTATATCTGCAAGATACAAATTTGTTTACATTATATAATGAGAGGATGAATTCTGTGGTAGTGGTTTTCAGTCTTTTTTAGTTGAGCAAACCTCAAATAAATTGCAGTGTTTAGTTGAACCCTACCCGTTTCTCCCATTATATATACTGTATATGTCTTCCTGGCATAGCCCTCAACTAATTAAGCACAGGGACAACTTTTATTTTTACTTATATATAATTAAAGTAATAAAATAATGTATTAACTGCCACTGTAGTTAATTAGTTATTAGGATTTGATCTGAAATTTTGAAAAAAGTTTTGATGGAAATGATTAAAAGGATGTTGATAGTCATTTGTGTAATCCACGTGCTTCTTAAAATGTCCTTGAAGAACACTGCTGTTCTGTGATACATAATACTTTAGGCTGCTTTGAGTACTTGAGTACTTTGAGGTGTATTCTTTGTTTTTCGTTAACAGGAAACAGATGAATCAGGACATGCATTATCATCAAGGAAGCCATCTGCATCTACACAATATCTGGTACCATTGTTAGTATACTGTTCATGATTGTAGTTACCATTTCCCAGGCATATATGTTGAATTAGGTTTCCATACATTTTTTTGTCCCGAGCACATCCTGAAACATTTGATATTGCGATGAATTGTGATAATGAAGTATTTCATTACTTAAAATGAACAATTTGTATTTGAGGAGGTTATGTGCATTTATCCATGACCTATAATCCGCTACACTTTGGTTGAGTAGATTTTTATTAAATCATATGCTGAAAATTTTGCATTCAAATGGAAGCTTAGAGTAACATATTTTCTGTGTTATAATAAACTACAGCTTTCCATAAATTCTTTTACTCAAACGGGCATAAATTGTCTCATTTCTTTTACATCTTGTTCTTATGTGTGTAAATCCAGTGTAATACTGAGATATATGTCATAAGAGAGAAATATTGAACATAAAAGTTACTCTTAGTGTCTTTTGCTTCATGTTTGATTGGTACCTGGTGTAAATCTCGGCCAGGATATTGGTTATACTGATTGAAGTTTTTTATGTTTCATTATTTCTTTGTCCATTTAACAGTTCTTTTTCAACTGCACTGGTTATATAGTGTTGAATGATGGGTTACCTGGAAAGAGTACTGAAGGTACTGTTCCAGAATTTGCCCTGTTTGCCTTGATCCTGAGCCAGATTCTATTTCTCTAAGATCCATCTTGATGTCATCATCCTGTTTCCTTCTTAATCTTCCAACTGTCCATTTCCAAGAGGTTTCTTGGCATTTTCCCTTTTTGTCTCTCCCCACTCTTAACTACATGCCCAGCCCCTCATAATATCCTAGACTATGTACTGAACATTACTACATGACTTGTATAAATTAAAAAATTCTTATTAAACAATAACATAAATTGCTACTTCATTATTTCTATATCCAAGTATTTTACTGAGCACTTCGTTTTTAGACACATGTAATTTATGTTCTCTCAAAGTAAGAGACCACATTTCACACCCATACAAAGCAAATGGCAAATTTATTGCATTATATGTCTTCATAGTGTTGGAGAGTATATGGGAATGGTTGATTCATAAGATTTCTGCATGAAAAATTTCCAAATTAAGAAGTTATGGATCCTACTTACTGCAGTTCATGTTGGCCATGTCTCTCAGCTCAGCAGCATAGCCTTCAATTCTGCTCTTGTCCTTCCATGCACAATACATTCTGCAAGAAGAATCAAAATCCTTGCTTGAGTGAGGAAATACAGAAGTCTAGACCAAAAGCGTTGTTTATTGAAATTGTTATAACTTTCTCTTGGAAATGAAATTTTTTTAGGAAACTGAATTGTTTTCACTTTTTATTTTCATTCAAAAAAATATGTTTTCATTTGAGTCTCCCACTTTGCCAATTTAATCTCTGTTAGTGCTGGCTACTTGGAAAGCAATGAGCCAGTTTTCTGTATCTTTAGTTTCAACTGCTGTGTTTAGTTTTTAATTGAATGATGTATAAGTTAATATTTTCTATTACAGTCACTAATCAATTGACATACTGATTTCCATCTTGTTGGACTGCACCATAGCTGCCATCCAACTCACAGTTTACATAAGGGAAGTTTGGATTTCTTGAATTATGGGCTGCCATCTCAATCTCTATTTTCTTCTGTGCAATTAGCAAGCTTTCGCACTGCCTCAGGTATGCTGACCCAACATTGAGCTTGTCATCTGTAACAGTAGTTATTCTTGTGAATGACAGCACTTGTAGTGATAAAACATAACCATATTCATAACCCAAAGACATGATGAGACAAATTTACACAATTAAAGAATTGTCTGAACACACATGAAAACTGTTTTATCTTGTAAAAGAATAAAATGTTATGTTAATATCCCACAGCCTCTGGATACAGGTGGAAGGATAATGTTAAAATCAATCTGTATGAGGAACACTTTTTTTTAAATTGACTGTTTCTTATTTAAATAATAGATACCAAAGAGTAGTAATAAAAGATAAATCATCTATTAAATGCTTCTCAGACTGGAAACAAGTTAGAGTGGGAGTTCCTTAAGGATTGATTCTTGTACCACTGTTTTCTTTTTGTTGTATATTAATGACTTACCAGCTGTAATAAGTGATATACCGAAACCTACTCTATTTTCGGACGATATTAACTTAATATTAACCACTTAAGATTTTGTGCAGCTTAAAAAAATCTCGATATTGTTCTTCGGAAGATAATAGGTTGGTTTCAAGCTAATTCATTGACTTTGAACTTTAATAAAACATATTATATGTATTTTAAAATGAAAATATGTCTAATCGATAATTCTCCAATAAAGTATATGAACAAACAAATAAACAGCACTCACTACACAGATTTTTTAGGCGTGACTCAAGACTCGACATTATCTTCGCAAGAGCTTATAAATAAAGTGATTACTAAATTAAATTCTGCTTTTTTGTTGTTAGATCTCTTAAATTGTTTTTAACTATAGAAGACTTAAAATTGTATATTTTGCTTGTGTTCATTCTGTTATCATGTATGGTGTTGCCTTTTGGGGAAATGCGACTAATAGTAAAAATGGTTTTATAGTACAAAAAAGTATTACGAGTGTTGGAACTTTAATAGTGGTAACACTGCTGTGGAGATGCCATGCACTGGAACCAAATAATGTCACTTATCCCACACGTTAGTTACATACCTACCTTACCTGAGAGCAAATGGACTCTCCCTTCCCACATCATGTGCATGCGCAGTGACAAGAAGAACAGAGCCTCGTGTTAGCTGGCGGTCTAATGTAGTGCTGTCACGATGTTTTCAAAACAGGAACAATGGAGTTGAATAAACATTGAATGTGCCAGAGGCTGTACAGCACCACAATGTTATCAAGGCCTTCAAGAGGCTTGCGGGGAATCTGCATTGCCTCACAGAACAGTGGCAAGGTGGGTGAAAGCCTTCAACGAGGGGTACCAAAATGTGGAAGACATGCGTCAGCCAGGTCGTCCTTGTGTCGGTGAAGAAGAAGTGTATGCTCTTTCTGCGTTACTGGAGAGTGATCAACGCCATATGATTCGTGAGCTGGCCCGAGAGACAGGATTAGCGCATACGACTGTGCTTTACATTTTGAAGGAACGCCTGGGCATGAGAAAAATTGCATCATGATGGGTTCTGCATGATTTGATGGAAATGCAAAAATGGCTATGATACGACACTGCTTGTAACCACTTGGAGCGCTATGAGCACAAAGGAGAGGCTTTCTTATGCCGTATCATTATGCTGCATGAGACATGGGCCAAATCGTACAAGCCACAAATGAAACACCAATCGAACGAATGGCGTCATTATGGGTCACCATGAAAATCAAGAGCTTGTCAGAACCCTGGCAATGTGAAAGTTGTAGTCGTGTTATCCTGACGCATACCGTTCCCTGACAGCAGACCATCAATGCAGCGACACTTTCTGCAGAACCCACCAATCATTTTGCAGGACAATGCTCAGCCGCATGCAGCACAAGCTGTGGCTGATTTGTTCGATCGATGGGACTGGGATGTTCTGTACCATTCCCCATACTCCCCGGACTTAAGCCCTTGTGACTTTGACTTGATTCCTAAAATGAAGGAACCACTTTGTGGCATTTGCTTCAGAACTGTTCCAGAGATTCTTCAGGCAGTAGACTGCTCCATTCGAATTATCAACACAACAGGCGCTGCTAAAGGTATCCTACGACTTCCGCATCACTGGCAACGGGTTGTACACAATGCTAGTGACTACATTGAAAGACAGTAAAACTTCGAAACATGCATCTATTTTGTTTCAGTTGTAAATAAATAGTTGCCACTATTAAAGTTCCAATCCTCGTATAAGAGCAATATTATGAATGTGATTCCTAAAATATCTTGTCGGGGACTTTATAGGCGCCTAAATATACTGCCCTTTTATTCACAATATATGTTTTCTTTATTGTTATTTTGAGCCGTGTCCCTTGACCCTGTGGGTTGAGAACCCAGTTCTCCTACCCACTCTGACCCGTGAACTCCTGCTCAATATGGGTAAGGGACAGGCTCATAAGACGACTTGCTTGTACGTGATGCACTATGCCTCCCCAAGGTCGAGTAGGGGATCTCGGGAGAGGAAAACCACTGTCGGCACTAAGGGCCAAGCTGGACGGATCTGCAGTCTGAACTAGTAGGGAACACACACAACCCAAGTATACACAAATACTACAGGCGTTTCTAACATATAAATAAATGTGTATATTGATAACAAGGCATACAGGTGACTCTGCCTGATGGGCAGTGGCTGGTCAAAACACACTCACAATTAATACAGAATTACTCTGTGGCTAAGCGCACAGACACAAATATAAGCACGCCTCATGGCAACCATTGACTTTACTGGGAACACAACTATATATTCATACTCACACGCCTGAAGGGTGACCGGCTATTCAAGCCAACAAACAAACCATTTACTTACGCCACACGGCGTCGTAATAAAACAAGGAAACCAAGCACAACAGTAAGTCCTTACTGGCGTTTCCAAAAATTACAACACAAGCTTAACCTCGCGACTTGATACAACCTTCATCAGGTCGCGAGGGCACTCTTCCCCCTTCAGAATGCGCCCGGGCCGAAACAGAATTTCACAAACTCAAATCAACCTAAACAGCGAATTTGGAACTGGCAATGTTACCTGTCTGAAGGTATCGGGCAGAGAGAACGAAGCATCTGTTCGGCTTAACCAAGAAGCCTCGCATTGCTTCCAGGAGAGGGGGGGACAAGGTCAGCTGACCTGACGTCAGCTAAGACTTTATGCGGAAAGA